AATTTTGACTAAAATTTAATTGCTAAAGAAAACGGACAGTAGTAATTTAAATAATTCCCTTAGTCAAGAGTGATTTTTAGTATAAAGATATATTTTAGGATGTTAATAGCCTCATGTGAAGCAGAATAAGGGATCATGACGTTATGAGAGACGTAAATTACGCTTGCTTTCGTGCGCCGATGTGCACTTACATGGTTTCTTTTTTTTTCATAGTTTTCTTATTAAATGTGGTATCGTCATGAAACTTGAAATGCGTGATCACAAAATGTTACTTTTTGCTATGACAAGAAAAGAAATTTGATTTAGCAAAGAAAAAATAAACTATGTTCCCTGTCTACGACTTTTTGGAACAACCCTCGTATATAGTTTTTTGTAAACATGGCACTTTTACTTTGAATTTTCTGGATTATAGCTTTAATATTTTTCAAGACCGAACGCGTTAAAGGTGCATGGACACAGATTTGAAGTTTATATTTTCTATATAATATTACGGCTTATATATTCTTAATACTTAGGAAAAGTGGGAATCTTGTTGTGTATTAATGAAAAAATATTAAAAACTTTAATCCAGAAAAATTAATTACATGTATATTCAGAGAAGAAAGGTTAGAAAGCAAAATTCCTTCACAAGTATCGTCATTCCGCCCTAAAAGTTGTGTACAGAGTTTAGCAAATTGATCACGACCGTGAAACGTACACAAATAGTTTTTTGTAAACATGGCACGAGCTCTGTCATTGTTCATGTTTACGATTCACCGGGTGTGTTCAATTGTTAAAGTCTGCTCACCACAAATGCACGGACTGACAATTTATTGTGTGTATCTGTCGAACATTCCTACTCTGAATTTTCTGGATCATAGTCTTAATATTTTTTCATTTATACACAACCAAGATTGCCACTTTTCCTATGTATTAAGAATAGAACTAAAATTTGTGAAGTGCAAGGATGTGTCAATCAAACCCGTCCAAAATTTTTGAAGTTTTAATAACTTATAGATGAAATAAGATTTTTAATATATTTTTCTGTAAAATGCTATTAAAATATATAAGCCGTAATATTATACAGAAAATATTAACTTCAAATCTGTGTCCATGCACCTTTAACGTGTTCGGTCTTGAAAAATATTAAAGCTATAATCCAGAAAATTCAAAATGAAAGTGTTCAAAAGCAAAACATACACACAGTATAATGTCAGTCCATGCAGTTGTGGTGAGCAGACTTTATCAATTGAACACTCCCGGTGAATCCTAAACATTAACAATAACAGAGCTCGTGCCCTGTTTACAAAAACTGTGTACGTTTCACGGGTGTGGTCAATTTGCTAAACTCTGTATATAACAGCGGAATGACGATACCTGTGACGTGGTTTTGCATTCGAACATTTCTACACTGAATATAATTATCATTCTGGATTTAAGTTTTGATATTTTTCATTAATACACAACAAGATTGCCACTTTTCCTAAGTATTAAGAATAAATTAAAAATTTGTAGAAGTGCAAGGATGTGTCAATCAAACCCATCCAAAATTTGAAGTTTCAATAACTTTTAGATGAAATAAGATTTTTCATATATTTTCCTGTGAAATGCTCTTACAATATATAAGTCGTGATATTATACAGAAAATATAAAATTCAAATCTGTGTCTATGCACCTTTAAGCACAAAAACTAAATACCTTGTGTGTATACTGGAGGCTGAAAACAGGTGGTAAGTTGTCCTTTCACTGTATTTTTAATGTTTATTAAGTTGTTATAAAAATTTATATTTGTATATTTAGAGTAATCCCCACAGGAACCAATAGTCTCCTTGTAAGTCGTCGCGTAACTTGTCCCAATATCTAAAATAGTTAAAATGAAAATGTTATTTCGGATAACATGATTTTGTTTGAACCTGTGAGAAAAAAAACAGATTATGTATCACATATTAATAATTTTAACGGATATTGACTTACGAACGCCAAATATGATATTGTCCCCACTACTTCTAATGATCCTGGCTGTTGTGATTGGATCACTGTAATATGGCCCCACGATAAAGACGTAATAGTTAACAGCATCCGCGCGATCTCCACCAGCAACCGTGAAGACGTTGTCACGAGCATGAATTAATCCCTTATCTACATAATGATAGCTGCTAGAAGTTTCTGAAATTCCTTCAACTGCCCTTTTGACGGCCTCGGAACTGGTATGAGCAGTAAGTCCAAACTCGGTTCTTGCTCCGTTATCAAATACCACAAAACCTACCCTGACGCTAGTGGAAGAAATCGGTAGATCCTCGACTAACTCAGCCACAAATCTTTTTATGAAGCGAAGATTAAAATTTTCAACGATGAAAACTATGTCAAGTTTGCAAGCTGAAAATAGACAAAACACATGTGATTGAAAATTTCCTAAATCTTAGCAGTCATATATAGTTTTATAATTCAAGCTTGACAAATACTAGCTAAAAATAAAACCTCATTTATTTAATATATTTATAAAGGACATCACATGGTTATTCTAATGAAAAATATGTCTATATATCTATGACTTATAGCAGAATAAATATTTTGGTAAGACATAATATACATATTATAGCACCACATGACACCCAGACATACCTACTGACGTAGGACCTGGAAAAGCAGACGTTGTACAGACAGCGATTTTTGTAAGAACGGTGTTGAATTTTGTAGCTAGGTCTGCTGGGGAGGTTGCCTGAACATAATTAGCAGTACTTCCAGCGGCGGACTTAAGATCATTTGCTAAAGTCGTGGTTGGGGAAATACCTGAAGTTAGAGGTAGAACAATTAGAAACACTAGCTTTACTACCGCATAGGGGAGTATGCCTTGTATATGCTTGTTTATGTTTAATTTGTAGTCGTCAAATATTTGTTTACCGTTTCATTCCAGGAAAACCTTTTCCATTTACTTTTACCAGGGAATAGCATATCGTTGCTTCATATATATTTCGGGAATTTTCTCTTATTTGTTTTAGAATTATTCCACTATCACTTGATGCTTATGTGTTCCAACTTATTCGCTACTCGAGAGCTTCTTTAAGTACTTTTACTTTTAAGAAAGACATGCTTTTAACCGATTTTATGTGACTAGGGTTTCAACAACTTCTTTTAAAGTAGACATATCGTAAATTTTATGGTCGTTACAATGTCATTGTTAGCAAATATTACCTATTTCGGCTTTCAACTGATATACATGTATTTCATACCAATTTTTAGGATTTGATTTTATACTGAATTTTATAGGGAAAAAAATTATATTTATATTCTTAAAAGATTTTCTGAAATCAATCAATGTTCTCTATCTTCACTTTTTACATTTTATGACAGTGCTACTGAGCTACCGGGTAAATAACAAAGGAAATGATGTTAAAGTCAGGAGGAACGTCTTACTGCAGGGAATAATGTCAAAGAAACTATGCTTTAAAGTGAATGTTGCTTGTTATACAAACTGTTTTCCTTATTATCAATCCCCAAATGAATATATTCGTTGGACAATACTTGATTTGATAAAAGCGAAATATAAATTGTTTCTAAATAAATATTCAAACTTCAGTATCTAAAGCATTGCAGCAAATTAACATATTTGGCTTTTATCCACACAGCTGATATTTTATTTTATACTTCAGAATACAATACATCATTGAATGTCAAAATAATTGTAAACGGTGTCATGGAATACCTTAAAAAGAGTTAGTCGAATCAAAAGTTCTATATATTAAATATAGTGTTTTAGTAAGTAATGATTTTAAAACAACTTTTCGTTTGTTTCTTAATAACCCGCAACTTGATTTGAATGTGATACATTATTTGTAGTTTTTAAATATATTGAGATAACCATCAGGTGCATCAGGTGCCATGGAAGAGGGAGCATCCCCTGCTGACCGGTCAAACCCGCTTATGGCTCCCTGTCAGGATCGGTAAATAACTAAAATATCCTTTGACAATTCTGTGTTTGAATAAGCTGAAGATTGAAAATACATTCGAAACTGCCACAGCGACCCACTGTATTAAGCGACTCACTGTCACATGTGACCTTAAAAATTTCCCCCAACGCTTTTCCCTATATATTCTACCTGTATTAAACGACCACCTGTCTAACGCGACCAACGACCGTGAATTTCCTGACCATTTTTAGTAATTTCAAGCAAGTTTACCTGAATTTAACGACTACATAGTTTCTGATTCCTACTTTTGATTTCGGTCGAGCATGCTTCGTTTTTTGTTCAAAACAACTAGAGACACACTTTTATTTCATTTAACAATTATATAATGAGAGTTTTATGAATAAAACAACATTTAAAAATGAATTTTTTTACGTTCGCTTTGATATTTATTGAATAAACATCACGTTTTTCTGTCCGGTGATCGAGCGCCATTTTGAAAATAGACGTTCGAGGTCGATCCCGATATCAAATCATGCTATAAGGGCCAAATGGATATTCAGCTGTAAAACCTGCTTGTTTAACTTAAATTAACAAGTAACTAAATCACAGATGTTTGTTTAAGTGCATAGTGTCACCAATGAGTATGTAAACACACGTTAGCTGGCACCCACACCAGGTCATAATTGGAGTGATTGAAATACCTGGTCACAAACGGGCAATTAGACACGGTAGTTCAGTAATGAAAAGAAAATAAATAATTACGTTAAATAAATATTTCAGTCATAAATATGATTTAATTTGATACCAACTGCATAACAAAAATCACAATACAGTTTTCATTCTTACTAATATGCAAAAAATACGAAGTTATATATTATATATATGTAAAAAAAAAAAAAAAAAAAAAAAAAAAAAAAACAAAAAAAAACTAATTATTAGGGGGAAGCAGCTATTTTTATACTGTATGAAAAAAATATGAATATTTTCAGATGTTTACAATATTTCCCAATATTCAAATGACTCATGTGCGGATCAAGATTTTTTTTTTCTTAACATTACAATTGTAAAAGCATTTGAGAGTTGAGCAGTATACCTATTAAAAAGTGGAAATAAACATAAGTTGTTATAAAATACATTAATCATACACTTGTGATATTTTCAGCATTATATATTTGATATATTTGAACACTGCGGAAAATAAGCAACCTGTATTAAGAGACCACCTGTCATATGTGACCTTTTTTCCTTTCTCCGTTGGAAGGTCTCTTAATACAGGTTTGACTGTATAAAGTCATCACGTTTATCATAAAGCTTTCTTGTAAGGTTACCATTAACGTCTTTTTCTAGTTATATATTGATATATGAAACAGATGTGTTAAAACTGTTGTGTATCCTCCGTAAATGTCGACTTGTGGGCCACAAGGTATGGTTTTTTCGTGTATCAAATTTTGAGAAAAAAAAATTAGCTTCATTTAAATACGAAAATAGTTCTCCTTATAAATATGACTTTGCGCAATTTGCTTCTCATGAAATGTTCCAACAGATTGTTAGAAGAATTGGTCTCCAAAACCCACATAGATACATGTATGTCTTTTCAATGAGAAACTCTAGCATCTTTTTTATATTAAATTAAGAGTACTTTTGTGAATGCTTTCAAATGACCCTGACAAAATAAGTAAAATTTATGATTTTTTGGGGATAAAAAAGCAGCTGTCCATGATGTCGGAAAGCCAGGGGTTTAATTTATTGTTAGGAATGATAGTCTTTGAAGTTGAAAAGTCGTAATTAAGTGTTGATATTATTGATTCATTATAAATTTAATGGGTTCAAATTTTCCGAATGTTTCTTTGAATTTTTGAGTATCTACATCTGATTTACACCACTTCTAGAATATCACTTCTCAAATATATTGTTGCAGTACTCGTGAAGTTTTTCTTCACTGCTGTTAATTTTTAAGTGATGAGTAGAAAAGAGGGTAGAAAGAACATTTACTGGGGTCAGACATGTATCTTTGTTTCTAAGGATTTTTCTGAAGTTTAGCATCAAATAAAGATATGACTTTGTATGGTAATTCAGTTTCTTTGGTTGACATTTGATTTTGAAAAATGTCCTCCTTAGAAAGAGAATCTTGGGTACAATTTTGATTACCATGTCTAGACTTCAAATCATGAGTCTTAGTAACAAAGAAAATATTCCTACCTGCTTTGTCAGATAAAACAATTTACTACAAACTGATCGTGTTATTCATCTAAATCTTTTTTTCACTGTTAGATTATTGAAAGAAGAAGGATAGGTGGTTTTCAGTGTATCCTTATTTAGCTTAAAACGAGAGTGTAACATACACATGATTCCTTTGATTCATTTTGACAAAGTTTTTAAGTCTTCTTTTTCATGCCTGGCCAATTTATAAATGAATAAAGAACTTGATTTTCCAATCAAAATATTACAAAAATACAAAGAACTAACATTTGAATTGATGTATAACTTTTAAAACTTTATTTAACTTATCAGCAATGACGTCATCAAAATGTAGAAGAAGGCGTCAGCCAATTTTTTTGACTAAAATATGTGGTGTACAACAGTACATGTTAAACTATAGAATGATCAAAATAAAAACTACAACATTATAAATAAACAAATTTTAATTTCTTACCGATTCCGAACACCCGATTTTTTGCCACCTGTCGTATAATCATTCCGATATCTGCACCGGGATATGTAGGGCTTGATTTACCAACAATAACAAAATATTTATATGCTTGAAATCTGTTTCCATTTGACAATTTAACAAAATCGTAAAATGCAACACGTAATGCCTCGGCCAGGTTAGTCGTTGTAGAGGCGCTTGGTATTGTTAATGCCGTAATAGCGGTGTCCAACGACGACGCTGTAGTATAAACGTTAAACTTGAAATTTTGGTCGATAGCATTATCATAGGATATAACCCCAACTTGTATATTACTGGTTGAAATTTGCATAGTCCTCACCAAATCACCAATAACCGATACTAATTCAGAATAAATAGAAGAGGTGTATGAGGAAGCCTCTATAATGAACAGAATGTCAATCTTGCAGGTCGAAACTGAAAGAAAAGTAAACATGCATCTGAATTCTTGTAAAAAAAAAAACCTTTAAAATATTAATAAATCAACTTCAGTATGCATAAAAAGACAAAAAAGGTAAATCCTGACCGGAACAGACAAGTGGGTATCCAGACCAGAACTTTCCGTAACATGTTCTCTGTGTGTTCCCAGCAACCTGTTTGTATCCTGAGTTACATGCGTAAGTGCTGACTCCATCATCTTCGAGAAGGAAAAGAAATTTTAAAAAAAATGTAATACATTCAAGGTATTTTAACATGAAGAAAAAGCAATCCGAATCAAAAATAGAAAATAAAAGTCGAAAATGGTCTATAAATCAATAACTAGGAGCCTGTACAAGGTACATGTAGCTTTTAAGAAGAACGATTCTCTTTTTCAGAAATGTTCTTTGTTGTCTCGAGCTCTTTAGTTCTATGCACAAAAACTATATTTGAGGAACCTTCTTCTTTTATTTCAGACTTCAAACATATAATATGTTTGTTTGTATACTATATTAAGCATACAATGTTACACGAGGAATGATCCTCTATCAATTTCGATTAATAATACCATACTATATCCATTAATCTTAATAAAGATTATATTTGAGGAACATTCCTCTATAATTCAAATCAAACAAAGTCATACAACAATCATCAATCTACATTTAAAATTTAAAAATGAA